CGATAGAAAGCGGCCATCTCCATACTTGGCAAATTAACGGTCAATTACATTACTAAGACAGCTTTTAAGACCTTTAAATCACCTATTTAGTTGTTAAGGCCCGGAAAATCAGGTGATCATGTAAAATTTCAGCCGATTCAGAGAGTTGACATATCCGACCCTACTTTTAAATATTGCTCAATTCTTTCAGATTATATGGACTGAAATGTTTTACAGTCAACTCTCGATTTCTCGAACCTTCAAGGGAATTTAAAAAAGCTTCGAGTTATCGGGAGTTCGAGTCAGTATCAGGAGTTGAGAACAAATGACCGGAAATAAGGAAAAAAAAACGGCTTTTACAGTATTTCTACTCGTACAGTGTACATTTAAATCAAATTTACTAATAATTCTGAAGACTTCCAGTTAAAATGAAACCGTATTTATAAGAACGTAACGTAACGCGAAACAAAACAAAGCAAATCAAAGTAGCAGGAGAAGTACAGATACTGGAAACAGTTCGCAGGTTTTAAAGGGAACAAGGTCGGGCTACTGATAAAGTGTTTAAGTGATTTACTTTTTCGAGACTGAATAGTTTCAATGTTTTGGACTACAGTACTGTTTGTTCAACTTGTCGCATATTGACAAACATACTTCGAGTTATCAAGAGTAAAATTGTATAGAAAATGACCTGAATGCAAACGAAAATTGCTTCGAGTTAGCAGTGCCTGATGTTTGAGTTATGGAGTACATGGAAGGTTCGAGTTACCAAGAATAAAATTACAGTAAATGCATGACGGAAATTCCGGGCAAACCGATTTTCGTTTGAGTTTGTGCGAGGTTCGAGTTATCGGGAGTCGTCTGTATATACTGGTGTTTACATAAACTTTTTTCTTTTTCTGAAACTATTTTAAGAATAAACCTGAAAAATTGGCAGGAGTTATCTTTTGGAGGGCTTAAAGAACGTCTGACATGCGTGCAATACTTCAAGACACTCAAGATAGCTAACAACACGGAAATAAAACAGACGTATTCGGTTCGTCTTCTAAGATAAATAAGGCAATTTTCTGCGTTCTCTTATTAAACCCATACTACTTCTCAAACTTGTTTTGCATCTTTGAATAAAATTGTCACAGACACCAGTAACAAAGTATCTCTACGGAGAAAACTTACTTAAGTTGAGTACCTGACTAGCCCGGCCTGTAGAGCATGTTGTGGGTTCGACCTTGCCTAGTTTTCAGGCCTCGATAATTCACCACCGAATTGAATAAACAGTACCAGTGTTGGCCTGAG